GGGGCCGAGAAAGGCTGGCTTTGGGGTCAGAAGTATGTGAGCTCAAATCACTTCAGCATTTGCAAACTGTGACTTTGACTAGTTATTTCGCACTTGTGAGCCTCCTCTCTGCACACTGAAGAGAACAGTGCTTTGTGACAGAGTTGTTATAAGAGCCAGGTGGAATCCAGGTGACTCATGGCACGTGCCTGCCCCAGCAGTGGTAGCATTGCCCCTGCCCTGGGGTGACACCAGTGCTGTAGGACTCACACCCACTTGCTTAGCCCCCAGGCCATTATGTTAACACCCTCCCCCCGAGCCCAGGAGCCTGCAACAGGCATGGCCACCTCATTGGGCCTGCCACACCCACCTTGAGGGATGAAACAGTATGTTTCCCAATGCGCTTGCTGAACAGAGGGCCTGGGTGGCCTGACCTGGCCACTGTGCCTCCCCACCTTCTCACCACTCACCCTCTCTCCTCCCCAACAGGTGGTCTTCTCCCTGACCTCTGGCAACATCGCTGGAGCTTTTGAGATTGTCACCACCAATGACTCCATTGGTGAAGTGTTTGTGGCCAAGCCCCTGGACAGAGAAGAGCTGGACCACTATATCCTCAAGGTGGGGACTGGCCCCCTCAGGCTGAGAGGTGGCTGCTGGCTCAGCTCCTGGACTGGCCACTACTGACCATCCAGGAGGGAGCTCAACCAGCAGCACACCTGGTGGTTAGTTCATCTGCTGTCACCAAGTAACATGGGGCCGGCTGTACCCCTCAAGGGCAAGAGCACAGTGAGGCCACTGGGAAGAGGGCAACCTGGAGGATCTCTGGGTTCCTGGGAGGAAGCAGCTGAGGTGTCTATCCCTACTGTGAGAACCAGGAAAGTCTGACGGTGCTGGGGAAGCCCCATCTCTTCCACAGTAACAGTGGAAGGGTTACTTACCACTCTGTCTGGGCCTCAGTTTCCCCACTTGTGCAATGCACCAAAAAAATCCCCCTAGCCTGACTGTGCTGAGGTGAGAAACAAATGCAGATGTGAGGAGCCACAAAGGCCATTACTGCAGCATCACTGTGGCTGGGGGTGTTTGCGGAAGCCTCTCTAGGGACCTCAGGGCTGCCCCTCTGCAAGGGCCTGAGTTCCTCACAGCACTTAATGCTGCCCCACAGCCACCTGGGCAGCATCCAGGCTTCCAGAGACAGGCTCAACCTATGACTAGGACTCCAGCTCATTGCTGAGAAGATTCTTTGAGGCTTTCTCCCTATTTTCCAAAGGCCAGATCTGAGAGCATAAGATAGGGGATTTTGAAGCTAAAAGAAGAGGAGCAGCTCAGTGCCTCAAGAGGCTAAGGCGCCAGCCACATACACCTGAGCTGGCAGGTTTGAATCCAGCCCGGGCCCACCAAACAACAATGACGGCTGCAACCAAAAAATAGCTGGGCATTGTGGCAGGTGCCTATAGTCCCAGCTACTTGGGAGGCGGAGGCAGGAGAATCACTTGAGCCCAGGAGTTGGAGGTTGCTATGAGCTGTGATGCCATGGCACTCTACCCAGGGCGACAGCTTGAGGCTCTATCTCTAAATAAATAAATAAATAAAATAAAAGAAGAGGAGCTTTGGGTCAGGTTGCAGGTCCAGAGTCCTATTCAGAGGCTGGCACAGCTCAGAATACAGTCAGGGGTAGGTCAGGAGGTACAGTCTTGAGCACACTGGGGTCAGACTCCAAATGAGGGTCCCAAGTCAGGCAAGGATTGGGCCAGGATTGGTCACAGCATGGGGCAGAAGGTAAAGCTTTGGGGAGAGCCCGGGGCTGGCCAAGCCACCCAGGGGCAGGGATGGGTCAGTGAGTCTCTTCGCCCTCCAGAATCCTCCCCAATGTGGAGACAACCCTTTCAGGCTCCACGTTCCTCATCCTCCTCTACCCTTTGGCCCTGACTTCAGCCATCCTCCTCTGTGCAGGTTGTGGCTTCTGACCGTGGCACCCCTCCACGGAAGAAGGACCACATCCTGCAGGTGACTATCCTGGATGTCAATGACAACCCTCCAGTGATCGAGAGCCCCTTTGGATACAATGTCAGTGTGAATGAGGTAAGCACAGCTCCAGTGACCATGCAGCTGAACATCGGGAGGGATAGTGGACGTGAGCCAACCACGAAGCACTTTTTAAATGTCTGCCTGGCTTACTAGTCCCTCAGATTTGAGGGATGGAAACTGTGGCTCTTTCATTAATTACATCCTTAACCCCTAGCCTTAAAAATGTACCTGATATTCAGTCCTAAGATTGAGCCATTCCAGGAGAATTTTCACTTGGGCATTGCTGGGTATCATGCCAGGTTGGACGTTCAGGAAGGCAGGATGGCAACAGGATGGGGTCCATCTCTCAGGCCATGCTCCCCCCAGTGGACTTGCACATGCTTCTTCCCTGCACCTGGGTTTTCTCACCCGTAAATAAGGATGGCACCTGTACCTACCTCATAGGGTTGTAGAGAGGATTCAGCATATAGTCGCTGCCACCATCATCCTTCCCATCCTCAGCATTGCTCTATGGTAGATAGATCAAAGCTTTTGTGAGGCCCAGGGGAAGCTGCTGGGCTGCTAGGAGCAGATGCTGAACTTTGCCCCAAAGGCCTTGACTCCAGAATGACCACTTGTTGGCTCTTCTCCTAGAACGTGGGTGGAGGTACTGCTGTGGTCCAGGTGAGAGCCACCGACCGTGACATCGGGATCAACAGTGTCCTGTCCTACTACATCACTGAGGGCAACGAGGACATGACCTTCCGCATGGACCGCATCAGCGGGGAGATCACCACACGGCCTGCCCCTCCTGACCGCGAGCGCCAGAGTTTCTATCACCTAGTTGTCACCGTGGAGGATGAGGGCACCCCCACCCTGTCGGTGAGTGATGGGGGTGGCTAGGGGGAGGGGAGGGCAGGCAGGGTAGCTCTGGCTGTGTGTGAGGGGAGCAAGAAAGGGGGCATGGAACTCCTGACAGCAGGTGGATCCCTGACCGCTCCACGTTGGCCGTTAGTCCATCAGCCCAAGCACATGTATGAATGGCCTGTTACATGCCAAGGCTGGGGTGCTAGTTCGGCTGAGTATGCAGCTACACTGAACCTCTCTTTAATCCTCTGGGTGCTCACAAGGCTGCTCTATAGGATGGTATAGGTTGAGATTCTGTATCCGGGCCTGGCCCAGGGAGAAACTGGGTATAAACCCAGCCCCTACTCCACCTGCCACTAGTGGGGACACACTAGTGTGTGTGGTATTGCCTTATGGAAAAGGTGCCCCTCTGGCTCTCTTCCCCTTGTCACGTGAGTTGATGTGCTGTCACAACACATCAGGGTGGGAAGAGACTGATGTCCAAGATTCAGGCCGATGCTTGAATGAACAGGGCCTGAGCACAGTGGCATTCAAGGTTTGCAAGGTTGGAGAAGGCAGGTAGGCCTTGGGGTGGCGGGGAGGTGATGACTATCTGGGAGTGATGAGCTGCAGTAGGTGCAGTTTATAAATTGAGACCAGGGAATTTGGAGTCAGGAGCACTGTGAGCTGGCTGCATGATCACAGGCAAGTCAGAACCTCTCAGCGTATCATTATTAAGAGAGATAGTGTTTATTTCATAGATGTTGTTTGGGAAATCAAATTAGCTCATGTCTGCAGAAGCACTTGGTAAACCATGAGGAGGAGGATTGTATCAGCTACCTATTGCTAGTAATGAGGCGTTACAAACCAAACAATACACAGGGGCATAAAACTTATTTAGCTCCAATTTGGCAGGCTGGCAATTTTTTTCAGATTAATATAAAGGTACATACAATTAGATTACATTGTTTGTGTTTGTTAGGTGACGTCCATGTTGTAATTGAGCCCTTTACCCAGGCAGTATGCCATATCCCCATATATTGTATCCATCAGGGGAGAGCTGGCCAATCCCTCTCCCTTCCCCCCTTCCCCTTTCCTGAATTTAATTGTGTTTTCCTCTTGGGTGGGCCTGTAGTTGTTCATCTACTAGTTTCATATTAGTATTGAGTACAGGGAATGCTGGCTTTTCCATTCATATGATACTTTACTTAGGAGTGTTCTCCAAATCCTTCCACGTAAATAGAAAAGATATAAAATCTCCTTCTTTTTATGAGTGAATAGTATTCCATGGCACACATATACCACAGTTTATTAACCTATTCATAGGTTGATGAACACTTGGGTAGTTTCTACATCCTTGTAATTATGATTCGAGCTACGATAAACATTCTAGTACAAATGTCTTATGGTAAAATCATTTTTTTCCTCTGGGTAGATAGATACCTAGTAATGGGATTGTAGGGTCAAATGGAAGGTCTGTGTTTAGCTCTTTGAGGATTCTCCATACTTCTTTCCCAAAAGGCTGTATTAGTTTGCAGTCCTGCTGGCAATTTCAGCCTGGCTTAGCCGGACGGTTCTTCTGGTCTCAGCAGGGATCCCTCCTTCATGTGTGGCCACCTGCATGTTAGCTGAGTGGCTATGCTTCTTAAGGTTGACTGGCTGTCAGCTGGGGTGACAGGGGCAACTCCTCCAAAAGGCAAAAAGTGCATTTGTTTGCATGGAACTGGAAAGGGGTCCAGGAGGGGGCAGAAGCATGCAAGGCCTCTTAAGTCCCTAGCTTAGAACTGGCACAAAGTCACTTTTGCCACACTGCTAGCCAAAACAAGTTCAGCCCAGATTTAAGATATGGGGAAATAAACTCCACCTTTTGAAGGAATTGACCTACAAAGTCCTGTTGTAAAGAGTGGGTAGAAGATTCAGGACATTTTTGTAGTCTGTCTCTGTGAGGGATCCTTATGGTAAGTGAGGCCTTAGCTCTGTCCTTTTCCCCCAGAGCAGGTACCCTCTGTTGGACCCCTCCCCTCTGATAACGACACTGTGGGAGGTGGAGTCAAACCAGGTCTGTGGTGGGCTCTTTCTCTGGAGAGTCTCTGGGGATGTTGGTAGAAATTGAGCCAATAATCCCAGAAAATTCACCACCATATTCTGAGGAGCCCAGGAAATGGGACTGGCTCTGAGTAGCCCCAGGGATGCCCAGTGTCATCACTGATCATTACAGGCATTCACACTCAGTAGGCTAAATGAGGCACATTTACAGAACACAGGTAACTAATACCCAGAACAGGAGAAAGGCAGGGTAGGAGTATCATTTCTTGTGGTAACGTGGAGGGACCCAGTTTTGACATAACCTCTCCCCAACTGCTCCTAGCTTCAGGGTGGATCATCTTGGTCATCCCTCCAATAACATGTGTGATATATTTGGCTATAAGTAACAGAAACTTAAATATGGAGCCATAAATAAATCAGTGCATTTACTCGCATCACAAAAACTCTAGAGTGAATTACAAATATTGATTTCATGCTTGGTAATGTCAGAGCTAATGTTCTTGCCCTTTCCTTCATAGTTGCAAGATAGCTGCTTTGCTCCAGGCATCACATCAGCATTCAGGGTAGGAAGATGACAAAAAGACCAACAGCTATGGCAGCCACTTCTGCCCCTTTATCAGGAAAGCAGAAGGTTTCTCAGAACCACCCTCCAGAGTCCTGCTTATGTCTCCTTCGCCAGAAGTGGGCCACATAGGTACCCAAGCTACAGGAAGGTTAGAAAAAAATGAGGGACAGGATTTTCATGATTGGCTTATTACTTTGAAACCAGATATATCACTGGCTCATAGAAAAGGACTCTGTTAATGAGGAAGAGGCAGAGAATAGATTTGGAGTGAGGTAAAATGGGACAGCATTTGCCATGCTCCCCAATCCTGACACAGGCCAGTGAGCCACCACCCCTAGCCAAGAATCTCATCTTTTAAAATAGAAATGCAAAGGATGCCTCTTCTAGAAACCCTCACCTGGCTGCTAGCTCTGAGCACTCTGGGCATCCCAGAGTGTCAACTCTGTTACATGTCCTCCGTGCTACTACTCCCCACCCCCTAGTCCTAAAGTTTCCTAGGAAGGCAGTGGGTAGGACCCGTAACATTCTAAGACCCTAAAGTTTGGAGGCAAAATTGGGCGTCCTTTTGGTTCTCAGAATAAAAGAGAACTAAAGAAGTGGAAAATCATCATAGCCACATTTAAACACTCAGAATAGGCTGGGCGCAGTTGCTCACACCTGTAATCCTAACACTCTGGGAGGCCGAGGTGAGTGGACTGCTTGAGCTCAGGAGTTCAAGACCAGCCTGAGCAAGAGCAAGACCCTGTCTCTGCTAAAAATAGAAAAACTAGCCAGCTGTTGTGGTGCGTGCCTGTAGTCCCAGTCCCAGCTACTTGCAAGGGTGAGGCAAGAACATCACTTGAGCCCAAGAGATTGAGATTGCTATGACATCATGGCACTCTACCCAGGGCAACAGAGTGAGACTATCTCAAAAAAACACATAATAATAACCCATCTCTTCTTTTTCTCCCTTCTTCTTCAAGTTGGTTTTTGCAGGGGAAACCTCAGTGACCATAGGAACATAATTTGAGAAACTAGCAGTAGGACACATTTTTTCATTCATTCCTTCACTCATTCATTCATTCAGCCATTGTTCCCTAAATGCCTACTATGTGCCCAGCACTGGCGGTACAGATTTGAAGACATTGTGGCCCGTGGCCTAAAGAGATGCAGTTGAGGCTCGGCGCCTGTGGCTCAAGTGGCTAAGGCGCCAGCCACATACACCTAAGGTGGCGGGTTCAAATCCAGCCCGGGCCCACCAAACAATGATGGCTGCAACCAAAAACTAGCCGGGCATTGTGGCGGGCGCCTGTAGTCCCAGCTACTTGGGAGGCTGAGGCAGGAGACTCGCTTGAGCCCAGGAGTTGGAGGTTGCTGTGAGCATGATGCCATGGCACTCTACCTAGGGGGACAACTTGAGGCTCTGCCTCAAAAAAAAAAAGAGATGCAGTTGAGTAAGGGAGGCAATGAGGACATCCATATGCAGGTGTCACGTGCAGATAGGGCACTGAGAAGAGCTGGGAGAAAGCTTCCTGGAGGAGCTGACACCTCAGCTGAGTCTTGCCAGTCAGTCACAGTTAGCACAGCCAAGCAACAAGCATATTCTGGGCATCAACCTGCACTAACGCCTGAGAGCAGGCAGTTATCAAAGGTGGGTTCTGGGAGCCACAGGGAGTTCAGGCCCAGGCAGCATTCAGAGGAGAGGCCAGAACTCTCTGTCCAGCAGCTCCCAGTGACAGTCTCTCTGGGACTATGCCAAAGGCTGGTCCCACTGCTTCTCCTTTTGTTGGTTTGTTTATTTATTTATTTATTCATTTGTTTTTGAGACAGAGTCTCACTTTGTCACCCTTGGTAGAGTGTTGTGGTGTCACAGCTCACAGTAACCTCCCACTCTTGGGCTCAAGTGATTCTCTGCCTCATCCTCCCAAGTAGCTAGAACTACAGCGCCCACCACAACACCTAGCTATTTTGTTGTTGTTGCAGTTTTGATTGTTGTTTAGCGGTCCCAGGCCAGGTTCAAACTTACCTGCCTCAGTGTATGTGGCTGGTACCCTAACCACTGAGCTATGAGCGCTGAGCCTTTTTTTTTTTTTTTTAAAGGCAGGAGTTTGCTCTGTCACCCAGGCTGGAGTCCAGTAACATGGTCACAGCTCACTGTAGCCCCACTGCCTTTTTCAGACACCCCCCCCTTCATTCTCTCCTGACCTAGCTGAGCCAGGATGGGGATGGGGCAGAAGCTGGCAAGCTACAACCTTGCAGCCAATGCTTGCATTTACCTCCAATTGCCAGACCCTCACTCTGGGCAGTGACCCTCTCTCAGGGTCATGAGACCCAAGGACTGAGCTGAAAGCCATGCCAGAAGTGACCAGAGCAGGAGCCCTTCTCTGTCAGTGGGCAGATTTCACTGAATGGATTTATGAGGAAGAATTATCCCAACCTATCCTGAGGTAACCAAAGCCCTGAGCAG